CCGCCCCCACCCGATGTACTGTTTACCCCGCAATGTTCCGCGATGCGATCACGGCCTCGTACGCCTCGTAGCTCGACTTCTGCTCGGCAGTCAGCGGTGGCCACGACTATGGCCTCGGGAAGGACATTGAGAGAGAGAGAGAGAGAGAGAGAGAGAGAGAGAGAGAGAGAGACGGGGAGTTGGTAGGTTTTGCGGCGGAATGCGCGTTGTCGCGGGAGACCAAGATTGATGCGTACGCATATCCATCACTTTATTTTAATGCCCCCAGTGCCGCTCTGGCGGTATAAACGACTCAAACCAAAATAGAAAAAATAAACATACAAAGAAAAACAACAACAACGCAACCGGGGACGCAGAGTCGCGTTCTGTGAGTGTCGCGACAGAGGGCCCCCTCGTCCTCATGTCGTCCTCACATCGTGTTCCCCTCGGTAGTCTCCGGTCCGGAGCAGTCAGTGTCTCCTGCCTAGTCCCTTCGCTTTTCTGCGCTGGGCTCCTAGAGCTCCCACCGGCGGCGGCGCGCTCTGGAGAGGGTTTCGGCGTCGTGGCTGGCAGGCAAACATTCGGGACGGTAGGCTGAAAAGGAAGAGTCGGGGGGGGGGGGGTACGGGGTTAGACGTTTGTCTGGAGAGCGATGCGGTGTGGTGGAGGGGTACACGGTGGCAGGCACGGGATGGGCACCAGCCCGCCTGCCTGTGCAGAATCTCATTAAGGTGAATATACAGGAGAAAAGCTAACGAAAAGCAGTCATTAAAATTTGCACCAATTCCTCGAGGGTGGTTATAGGATGGGCGCTCAGCACGCGCCCGGGGCGGGACTATCGCGGGCGGCTAACGAAGCGAAAAGATGCGATGCGATACCCGCCGCAGGGCTTCTCCAGCCAGCGGCTCTGGGGCTGGCCTAAAGTATCTCTAATACTACAGCAAGCGACTTTAAAGCAAGCGCCCCTTCGCAGGTTTATTCCGTTGACTTCTCTTCTCGGCGCTCTCGCGCCCACTTCTTCAACAAAAATGGCCTGCAGTTCTGCAATCTTTTTCAGTGAAAGTTATCCAGCAGGCCTTTTCGAAGGGGGGTTAACTCGAAAAAATCGTGTTCAAATGAATACAAGAAAATACGAAAATCCACAAAAAAAAAAAAATACCAAAGAATACTGTATAGAATACATAGAAATACACAGATATACGAGTTGACCCCCCCCCCCTTGGGTTATTGCCAGTGACAGCTCTCCTGCAGTCTTTTTCAGTGATGGCTCCCCAGTCGGCTTTCCCTTCCCAGTGATGGCTCTCCAGCGAGCTACCCCCGGTGTGGCACCCCAAGCAGGACTCCCCATCAGGGATTCTCCGGCGGGGCTCCAGCCGACCGCACGAGGAGCGCCATGGTGCGCCTTTACCCCCAGCTGGCTGCTGGATGGCCAGGAATACTGCCCGCTGGAGAAACGATCGGGCTGCCGGGGCTCCAGCTGCTCACAGCGGCTCTAGCATCCAGCTACCAGCAGCGGTTAGGCGCCGTCAAGTTGTCAGGGTTCTGGAGCTAGAGCAGGGCCGGGCCGGGGGCAGCCTAACGAACGGCAGCCAGGTGTGGGCGCGCGTTTGCTTAATCATCACCCACCATCACCACCACCGCCGGGTCCCGGAGGGAGAGGGAGGAGGACTCTGGCGGAGCCGAGCCGAGCCGAGCAGCCACCCAGCGCAGCAGTGCCTGTCCGCGACAGCGCCCCGCCCTCACCCCCTCCTCCTCCTCGCCCTCGTCCTCCTCCCTGACATGGACATGTCTCGCTGCCGCTCACACGCACGGCCACGACAACGCAGAACATATATAATGTTTTACGCCGGCGCGGACAGGACCGCCGACGCGCGGCCCGGGAAGGTCTCCTGTCATCGGCTCTGCCAGCCGGCTCTCCCCTCCCATCCCCTTCCGTCTGTATGTCTATCTGTCTATCTATCTGTCTGTCTGTCTGTCTGTCCGTCCTTCTGCCTTTCTGTCGATCTCTCCCTCCAGAGTGGGTTTTCACTCGGAATTTTCGTGCACGGTGTACAAAACATTCCGTGTATTACGCGGTATTACGCCAATAATTCACAAGGTTTGCCGACCCAAATTCTACCATTTTAGTGTATATGTTCCTATTTTCGGTATTAAATGCGCGTAATACCTGGTTTAAGTACAATGTATTACGAAGGTGAAAACCCCCTCGCTCCCTCCACTATACCTCTCTAGCTCTCTCTTCCCCGCCCTCCCTCGCGCACACACACACACACACACACACACAGACAAACTCACACTGCTGCAATACATGTACTGCGAGCAACGACGGCAAGGGGCAAGTGGGGTGTACACCGTGACCCGAAACGCCTCGCAAGGAGGAGCAGGATCTTCACGTTGATGGCTGCTGGCTTCCGTCCCAAAAACCACCGTCGTGATTTTAAGCGCGCAGAATCGCTAAACGAGTTAGGCCCCGCGCCACGCCCCGGCCGGCAGGTGGTGCGGGAGGAAGGGGGGAGGTAAGAGGTGGAGGGGTAGGGGCGGAGGGGGGTTGAAGGTTAATGGCGAGACGAACGCGGCGGGGCCGACGGGCTAACGAGGTGAGGGTTCCCATCGAGAGGAGGGTGGAGCAGCAGCAGGATCTTCATCGGGGCGCCTTGCCTCGGCCGGGGCGCTCGCGAGCCGCAGAATGGGGAGGGTTTAGTGCGCGCCGAGCGGCCCGGCCCGGGCTGGCGCTGGCGGGCCCCCCGCACCCCGGGCGGCAGGGCGGGGCCGGGCCGGGTCACCCGCAGTGGAACACGGTTACGGGCGGCTATGGTGGATTTATGGCCGGTCCAGGCAAACTATTCTGCCCGGCAACAAGTACAGCAAAGCACGTCAGGTGGAAGGAACACACGCACACGCACGCACACACACACACACATCGCGGACTGTACTGCGCGTGTGCGTGCATGCCTGCGTGTGCGTGTATGCGTGTGTTGGATGGGCCGCTTTGCTGGCGAGGGCCTGGAGAGCGGGAGCCAGGGGGGAGGGGGTTGGAGGTATCTGGTCGAGGGCTTTACGTTCGCGGTTTACAACAACGGCGAGTCGTTTGTCGGGGTGTGTGAGTTATCGGCAGCAGTGTGTGTATGTTTTGTGCGGGTGGCTGTGCCTGGCTGTGCCCGCGCCACCTGTGCGGCTCAGCTGGCCGTGTGGTACCGCGTCCGCCCCGGCCCGGCCCGTCAACCCGTCCGCCCTTGGCGAAGGGGAGCGGAATCAATTTGGAGGTGAGGGCGGCAGAGGCACTGGTCGGCGGCGGTGCGGGTAGTGGGAGAGCGGTTAAAAGAGACAAATAGGGATCAGCGAAAGGGAGCAGATGGGGGAGCGAGACGAGGCGCGCGGGGGGGATTAGGGGTCGGGTGGGTCGGAGCGCGCTTTTGCTCGGCTTCGCTCGGCTTCGCTCGGCTTTCGCTCACGCAGCGACCCGCCGGCCCGACTAGTCATTATCGGTAATGACGTTGTCCCTGAGGCGGCGCATGAAGAAGAAGGTGATATATTTCAACCCGTTACCCACCTCCTCCTCGCCCGGGCTCTGGGTGACCGCGCCCCGCCCCGGGCGAGGGGGCCGCCATGCCCGCCCGCCGAGATCGAATGAGAGGATAGTGGAACAAAGCCAGTTGGGCGGGCGGCTGTGCGGCGGAGCCGGGGTGCGGCAGGCGGCAGGGTAGGCGGTAGGGGTGCTCCTATCATCGCCCAGGCGCACATGAGCTATAATTATCTCGAGGAATCGAAACGAACTCAGAGCGCCGTGCCGAGTTATAGGGCGGAGACAACCGGAGTAACGGGGAGGGCCCCACGATATCGCAGAGGGTAGGACGGGGCGGGGGCGGCCCTGGGATCATCGCCACAATCAGCTATGTAGTATATTCCTCCTCTCTTTTCCAAAGTACCGGAGCTGCTGCTGCTGCTGCCGCTGTAGGGGACACGAAAATAATAGAAGACGAAAAGCAGAAACGTGAAAAGAAAACGGCGAAGAGAGAGAGGGGGGGGGCTAGGGGAGACGGAAACTTTTTGGAAAAGGGAGGCTGTTAAGAGAGGCCAGGCCGCAAGCTTCCTCCTTTAGATGAGTCTGCAAGGCCCAGCCAGGCCAGGCCAGGCTCATTCATGAAAATGAATCCAGTGATGGAGAAAGGCTTGGGGCGGCGGGGGGGCCGCGCCAGCCATCCTGCTGCGGCACGGACAAGAAGGGCGGGGGAAAGGGGGGCGGTAGAGCACAAGGCTCGGCGAGGTCCTTGTGCGCGTCCTCCATATTCGCAAAAAGGGCCACGGACCCGGCACGCCGAATCGTCCCCGACGACAACGGCGGCATTCTTGGCGTCGTGGATCTCGCGGCATTCCCACGACGCGGTGGAACGCGCAAGTGGCTGCTGCTACCCCGTCGCGGATATCCCGTTCTGTCGGTCGGTGAGAAGCAGAGGCGGCTCGTTTTTATCAACAGCCTGGCTCGGTCGTGCCGCGTGCCGCGCGGATCTCACGCGGGCCGGACTATTAGTCATCCCTCACGCCCCTCCAGCCCCGCAGGAGCGGCCCTCTCCTCACCTCCGTCTGTCTCCTCCATCCTTCACCTTGTCAGCTCAGCAGAACATACCCCCACCCCCCACCCCAACCCCCCTCTCCCTTCTGGAATGGACCGGCAACCCGGCGACTGCATCAACATTCCGCGCACTTGAAGAAGACATCCCCGTCCCCGTGGTTCGCGTCGTGCCGTCCACATCCA